TATTCAGAATCTTTCTATCAACACGATACCTATTAAACGTTTTTCCATTGCCAAAATAATTTCCGATATTATAAGGAAGGGTATATAAAATTCGTACAAAGTTAAAGCCTTGTTGTGTGTTATTATTTCGAACATCTGATATGATCAAAGGTTAACTCCATTTTCTAAGAATGTTAGTCTATGACTTATTAAAATAAATCAAAACAAACAAAACGCTCCACAATTATTTCGCCGACATCTGATTAACGCTTAACAGCCATAATCATAGATATGATGTTTACTTTCCTGGCAACAGACTTTTCGCTGATCTGGGGGCTTGGCTGCCGATTCTTTGTGTCATGAGCTTGTTTTTACCAGTATGTTAGTAAAGCTGAATAATTTTATGTACAGTTGTGTATTTTTAATTTAGTCCGATTGTAGTTATGAATTTGTCAATGACCGAGTGAAGGCCAATCCCGGGATGTGATTGCTAACAATAGGTTTATTAAAAAATCCAAAAGTTTTACAATTAAAATAGTCTCAGCGGGCTGAGTTTGTTACAGAAATTTTATAGTGAAGAAATTGGGGTTCAAACAAGTATTTTAAGTTTACAAATATTAAGTTTGAAGCTTCATTTAGGTTGTGTAAGAGTTGTTCGGTATGACTCTCAAGGAATATATAATTGTTGTTAGAAGTCCATGACGCACAATTTCATGGTCAAAATTTGACCATTTTGAAATTTTTGAACGCCTAAAGATATCTTCTTCGTTTGGCAGCATCTTTCACTCAATTTATATTCGATTTACATTTTTTCTTATTTGTGTGATATAATGATAAGGTTTGAAAAATATTAGTGTTAATGAGAATATGTCACATGACTAAAATATTATTTGAAAAAAAAAAAAAAAAAAAAATGAAAATGGAAATAAAACATAAACATTAATGAAATTTTAAGAAAATCTTATATTGATTTCACAAACTGAGATAGTAGACCCTTCGCGTGTTTTGTTCTCAGTTGAAACTATGAAATTTGAGATTTTTATATGTTTTAATTATATTTTTGAACTAGGGTTACTATTATTATTATTATTATTATTATTATTATTATTATTATTATTATTATTATTATTATTATTATTATTATTATTATTATTATTATTATTATTATTATTATTATTATTATTATTATTATTATTATTATTATTATTATTATTATTATTATTATTATTATTATTATTATTATTATTATTATTATTATTATTATTATTATTATTATTATTATTATTATTATTATTATTGTTATTATTATTATTATTATTATTATTATTATTATTATTATTATTATTATTATTATTATTATTATTATTATTATTATTATTATTATTATTATTATTATTATTATTATTATTATTATTATTATTATTATTATTATTATTATTATTATTATTATTATTATTATTATTATAATTATTATAATTTAAGATGTTTGCTTTTTGTGGGAGATACGGAAGAGAATGGGTGAATATTGTCCATTTGATGGCCTAACTCGTAAATATTACGGCGTGTCAACATTGAACTATATCGAGTACTCAATATAAGGTTTTATTTTATTTTTTTTGGAAAAAGTTGACTTTTTTTTCTGAAAAAGTAACGACGTGGTGAACGGACATATACCCATTTCCGATACATTTAAGTTTAGTAATATTATTACTATGTAAAGGGTGTTTTTTTAAGCTAGATAGAACTTTAAATTATAAATAGTAGCACAAAAAATTAAATTTTGATGAAACTTTTTGTTATTTGTTTCAGAATACTCTGACAAATCATCATGATTAGACTCACGCTTGAATAACGCTACGAAATTATCCAAATTTACTTTGAAAATCAGGATCTAGAGCAGTTGGCAAATTACCCATTGTTTTATCGCAAAATTGTGTGCAGCGATGAGGCGCATTTTTGGCTTAACGGGTTTGTTAATAAGCAAAATTGCCGGATATGGAGTGAGACCAATCCACAAGAGACCCTACAGACTCCATTACATCCAGAAAATGCATACAAATACATTTTCACGCTGGTGGCATCATCTGATCTTATTTCTTTAAAAATGAGGCCGGAGTTCGCGTTACGGTCAATGGAGATCGTTACCGTACCATGATCAATGATTTTTTGTTTAAAAATATATATGACATTGATTCGGAGGAGATGTGGTTTCAACAGGATGGCGCTACGTGCCATATGGCGAACGCCGTATTGAAATCAAAATTTGGCGATAAGTTGATTTCGAGAAGTGGACCTGTCAATTGGCCTCCAAGGTCGTGCGATTTGACACCTCTCGAATATTTCCTGTGGGGCTACGTGAAGTCACTGGTTTATGCTGATAAACCAGCAACAATTGACGCCTTGGAGGCCAGCATTGTTCGTGTTATTCGTGACATACGGCCAGCAGTGCCCGAAAAAGTGGCCAACAATTGGACGTCCAGAATGCACTTCGTCAAGAACAGCCGCGGTGCCCATATGCCCGAAATCATTTTCAAATGTTAATGTCACGTATTGATCTTTCGAATAAAAAAATAATTTTGATTAAAATTTAATTTTACAATTTCCAGTTCTATCGGGCTTAAAAAACACCCTTTATAAAGTTTTTATCAAATCGGATTATAACTTCGAGAGTTGAGGCTCTCAGTAACCACCAGATATACTAAAGGACGAGTCGGCGGGCATGGTTAAACCGACTCCAAATGTGCTGAAACGGATTTCTCTCAAAAAGACCTGGGTCTAAAATCGTTATATCGTTGTGACATATTTTTGTAGTATGCCATGTATACAGGGCGAGATAAAAAACACTGCAACAAAGTCAAATGCCATAATTTTTAAGTTTTTTTTAGTTCTACAGAATATTTTCGCGATAATATTCGGAATTTATTCTGATGCCACGGCTGTTTTGGCGGCCCATACCATCACCATGACCGGCGCTTGAGTTCTGGTGGCCAACCGAATGTGCACATTTTTAGCTGAACTCTTTGGTAAGTAAACACGATCATTTTGTTTGTTTACAGTTCACCACTTTCGGCCAAGCGAAGCAACTCTTTAGCTCTTTTGAGTCTATTTTCTTTGTGTTGCGGTGTCTTTTTGGAATTTTAATGGCTTTACCTCGAACTGATTTTTCAATATTTGCCGAATGGAATATTGCGATATCTTCAGCTCACGAGCAATTTTTCGGCCACTGCAACGCGTATTCGATTCGAACTATTTCTGCTGATGTTGCTGTTTTCTTCTGTCCACTTCCTTAGCGTCGAGCTACGCTACCAGTATCACGGTAACGAGCGATGATACGAAACACAATAGATTTATTCACATTTAAATGCTGGAGTGCTGTTACCATAGCTTCTTTTGGTTTTCCAGTCAAATATAAAGAAATCACACTATCACGCTTGAATTCCATCACAAATAACTTTTTTTCTGAATAATTGTCACCAAAATGCTTTTGACCGCTTGTAAACAGTATAATGAGCAGTCACTGGAATAATTTTAACAGCTGTCGAACGAGTGGCTTGGAAAAGACAGCAGTCTGAAGTTGGTTGCAGTTTTTTCATCTCACCCTGTAGTCAAAAGGTTAAGGGTAAAAAAGAGTACCACACTAAATATAGACTTAAGTCAAAATTTATTAAAAACAGTAAGGAAAAGTCAAAAGTTGGGCAAGGCTGACTATAAGATACCCTACACTCCTATGCATATTTAATAAATATCCCGTAACAAATTAATATATTTAAAGTAGATCATATCACTTTTCAATATTTGGCTTTAGGGCTAATATATGGCAGGCCTATCCAATTCTGAATCGATTTCCACCAAATAACATTAATAAAGAGTGAATGATATCACTTCGAGAAGGATTATATTAAAGATATATATATCGGAGCCGAGTTCTATCAAATGGAAACGTACGTCCCGATGTCGCATGTGCCAAAATTCAGATCATTTACACTGATATTGGCCATTTGGTGTACAATTTACCCGAAATCGGTTGAAGGTATATATATGGGAGCTATATCCAAATCTGAGCCGATCTTTATAAAATTTGACAGAGGTATTTCTGACCTGTATCTCATATCTAGTACCAAATATCATTCTTGTGGAGTGCATATTACGAATGTGAGGGACATAAGCGCCAAATTGGATGAAACATACATATATGAAGCTAAAACTATATCTGAACCGTTTTTCACCAAATTTTATGTACTTTCTTCCAGACTGAATTCAATCGGATGCGCCAAAATTCTAGTCATTTGGGTTGATATTAGCCATTTAGCGCACAATTAACCCGAAATCGATTGAGGATATATATGGGAGCTATATATAAATTTGAACCGATTCTCTCCAATTTCATCTCAATCGAATAATAAAAGCGACCTTCATTTTGTTCACAAGAATACATGGACAGGCAAAGTAATTCTATGAAGATCTTCAAAAGTAAGAATGGGTCTATCTCGCCTCCTTCTCCATGTTACAAACAATTGCACAAAGACATACTGCCGGAATCCCTGACCATATAGTGACCCATTTACCCCTTTCTTAATGTACCGGACATCTTGTAATAAATTTGAAAATAATATTGCCCTAGGTTTCCACGTGTAATGAATAAATTAATTAAAAATAGACATTTTGTTATGTCTTCGTCTAGACATATTCAGTTCTTTGTTATTATTATATGGATTTATTTTTTTATTGTTTATCTTTTCGCACGACTAATACATTTATTTATATTTTCCAAGTATCAGCCTATCATAAAAATAAATCAACTAAACATTTTGCCACTATTTGGCATAATTTGCAGACGTGTGGGCGGCAAACTGGAAAATTTTTGGTTTTTAAGTTGACAACAACTGCAATTGTTTATTTTCGCAGATATGAGTCTGAAGATAAGCTGCACGTTTTGGTTGTTCGAAAGAAAAGGGTTTGCGATAAGCTTCACGTTTCATTCGAATTTTCGAAAGAGAGCAGAGTTTGAGATAAGCTTCTCAGGTGAGAGTCTTCGAAAATGGATACATATAAAATGAGGTGAAGAGCTGTCAACGGTCAGTCGGTGCTCAAAAATTGGTCAAACCTGAATCGGAGGAAAAAGACAACAACCACAAAATGAAAATCAAACAAAGTGGAGTGTCTTACCTTAGCGGTACCAAATACGATAAAATGGAGAAAATTTGGTCAGGACCCAAGTCTAAGGAAATCTATAGCCGTGACATGACTGTGGGCGAGGCCATAGTCTTGCAGCTGCGTAAGACACCACAAAGAGTGATACAAATTTTGGAATCAACCGGAGAATCTCTGACAGCTCAAGAGTTTTTGGACCACAGTATGGCATTGGCCAAGAATATGCTGGAAATGGGCATAGTGGCGGGTGATATTGTGGGTGGTTATGCCAAAATGTCGTTGCATTTGGGCACCGTTATGTTGGCTTCATTCCTGTGTGGTACCCCAGTGCATGGGGTGTTCCAGAGTTTTGAAAAAGGTAGGGAAAATATAATTATTCCTAACACCACGTTTCCACATGATGGTGACAGTTTAAAAAAAAGGATTTTCGACTTCATAGCTGAAACCTTGCCTTAGGTCATTTGCCTATGAAAATGACTGTGAAGCTAGAAAGAAATATATTTTTTTAAATCCTATTTTTGATTTCTTTGCTTTGCTTTTTTAGACATCATCGCAAACATCTATGCAACCACCCGCCCCAAGATAATCTTCTGTGATGCTGAAAATTACAAGAATGCCCTGTATGTCGTGCAAAAGTTACAGTTGGATGCCAAAATTATTTTGATGACCGGCAGCACAGAGGGTGTTTTAAACATCAAGGATTTGGTAAAGAAACGTGAGGACGTTGATGACCTATCAATTTTCCCCTGCACAAAAATGACCAGTTCTGATACAGCAGCCATATTGAGTTCATCGGGTACAACTGGTACACCCAAAGGCATTTTGTGTTCCCATCATGCCATGCTCCACAATGTTCCCTAGTAAGTATAATTTATATTTATTAAAACAAATTTTTATTTCAAATTAAAAGGCCTGCGATGAAAATATTTTATTCAACTAATTGTGGGAAAAATTGTGTCTCTTTGTGGATATGATAGCTTCCTATGTGTGGATACAATTTTATAGGAGAAAAACATTATTTTAACTTCATATATTCCGCTAGCAAGTGCCAGCTACTTTGTCAGTGAAAACTCCACCTTAAAATTTGAGATATGTTCCACCAGCTCATTTTTATACTCAAAATACAACATTTGTTCATTATTATACATCGTACTAACTTTTCAGCTACACCAGTTCCCTTTATTCATATTCAGGAAGTTTACCAGGGATCATATTAATTAAAACCTTGCACAACAGTTCCACATATAATTTTTATAACAAATTTTTTTTAACGTCTTTTCAAAATAAAAATTGCCTACCGTAAATCTAAAACTTAGAAACTGAACATTGACCTCAATATTAAATTTAAGGATTCAGGATCCATTCACTTAATGTCAAAATCTAGTACCATTTAGTACTATTCGAACAATCATAGTTCGTATTCAAAAATCAACCTCCTTCTCTCAAAACTGCATCACAACATTGGCCTCTATTTCAAATTTCAGAATTCCAGCTCTATTCTAAGACCCACTTCCAAATTTAATACCATAACTTCCTCCTCCCCCATCTATCCATCCTAGAATTTCATCGTGCATTTCGCAGCATTTTGCACTCTTAATACGTTCATAACACTCATTTCCAAAACCACCAACAGCCATCCGTAGAAGGTATCAGGATTTCAGCTCTATTCTTCAGACAATACCAAATTTAGGAGCATTTACTTCTTTAAAGTATGCATTCTTAAAACAATTTCCATATCTTAGCCGCAGATACCAACAGTGATCTTAATAACAAATTTCAAGATCTCTGCTCTGTAATTTCCCCCATTTAGAACAATTATAGTACGCATTTCCAAAACCACATTCAGATCTTAACACCAACAGGGATATCTGTATCAAATTGCAGGATTTCAGCTTTACTTCTTCAGCCAATACCAAATTTAGTACTATTTGGTACTTTTCGTACAATTATAGTACAAATTTCTAAAATCACCTTCGTATCTAAATTTCACATATCAACAGAGAATTTAATATCTAATTTGAGGATTCCAGCCCTATCCCCTCACCTAATACCAAGTTTAGTACTATTGGGTACTTTTCGTAAAATTATAATACACATTATCAAAACCACCACCAAATCTCAATTCCAGATACCGATAACAGACCTCAATATCAAATTTATGGATTCCAGCCCTATCTTCTTACCCAATACCAAGTTTAGTACCTTCTAGTACTTTTCGTACAAATATAGGTGGCATTTCCAAACCACTGCCAACTGTCAAAGATAGATACAATCACTAATCTAAATATCAAATTTCCGAAATTTATGTTATCTCTTCACCCAGTACCAAATATACTACTATTCTGAATACATAATTTCTATTCAAAATACCAAATTTCTGACCCTAGTAACAAATTTCAGATTTCAAGCACTATTTGTTCACCCAATAAAAATATATTTTACAAGAATCCAGAATTATATAAAAAAAGTATTCTTTAAAAAATTTCCTATTTTGTCTTGACTAGGTGGTGTCCTTAGGTGTCCTGTAATGTGATTTACTTTTATTAATCTTTTCTCTTTTTCCCCCTTCTTTTCAGTCTCAACGCCACCATGGATTCGGTGCTAATGTGTTTCAGTTCAATGTTTTGGGCTACTGGCGTAACACACTTCGTGCAGGGTTTACTGTACTCGGCACTGCGCATTGTTCCCGATCGGCCGTATCGACCAGAATATTTTCTTGATGTCATCAAACGTTACAAGGTAACACATTGTTTTGCCACCAGTGCTCAAATAGCCGACTGGGTAATGAATATTAACGAAGATGTTATACGTACTGCCCTGCGGTCCATTGACACTCTAATGACAGGTGGTTCTGCAGTTCCACAACCCATCCAAGATAAAATAATAGACATACTCAGCAACAATACCAAACGCCCCGGGTTCGTTATGATTTATGGTTCATCAGAGATTTTCCTGGGCTGTAGCATCAATGGTGGTTATCCCTACGAATCCAAAGCTAAGACTGTGGGCAAACTCTGGCTCAACCGTGAGGTGTGTATTGTCGATGAAAATGGCAAGCGTCTGGGCCCCAATGAAACGGGAGAAATTTATGTTCACACACCCAACATATGGATGGGTTATTATGAGAATCCAAAGGCCACAGCCCAGGCAAAGGACGGGAAATGGATAAGGACTGGCGATTTGGGTTGCTTCGATGAAGAGGGTTTCCTTCATTTGATGGGACGTTCCAAGGAGATGATCAAATGGATTAGTTTCCAAATATCTCCCCAAGCCATTGAGGAGTTGTTGGAGCCTCTACCAGGAGTGGCAGAGGTATGTGTGTTTGGTGTACCAGATCTGGCGGCAGGCAGTTTGGTGGCATGCGGTATTGTGAGAACTCCAGATAAAGAAGGTGATCTTCTCACTGAGGAAATGGTAAATGAATATCTTGAATCCAAAATGGATGGTTTATATCTGTTGCGTGGTGGTGTTTATTTCATCGATGCCCTGCCACGAACAGACACCGGCAAAGTGCAGCGTCTGAAAATGTTACAACTTATTGAAGAAGAAATCGATAGATAATAATTTGGAATACTTTTTAATTTATTAGGTTATATATTTTAGAATGTATGTATTTAATATAAGTAATTTAAGTATATGTCTAAACAAATGAATCTTAATAAAGTAATTATCTTGTCAGGAAAAGGGTAGTTCTGTTTTAACAGATGATATTATAGGTAGGGAATTTGGGAAATTTTTGAAGAAAATATTATTCTTCTGCATAATTGGACCTTAATGCTGCAAGGATCCAAGTGTAAGCAATTGGTATAGAATTGTGAATTCTATAGTTGTCGTAAATGATACAGTTCTCGGGAATTATTTGTGTAAATAGCACTATACAACCCAAAATAATAACAAGAATATCTAGTAGATAGAGGGTAGAACTAAAAATAGAAGATATGCGTAACGGAATTTTGAAACTTACAACGCAAAGTAACCTTTATATGGGGAAAGTTTCTCCTCTTCCGCATCTTTTGAAATATTTGGATGTGGAATCCGTGCATATTTGGTACATAGTGTCTTCGGCAATATTACTGATAACAATACGAAAACCATTTTGTTCAACAACTATAAAACTTAAAGAGCTTTTTTGAATCCATTTTCAAACTTTCTATAAAAACTCGCTTCAAACCAGATCGTAGCAAGTAAAATATTCAACAAAAAGTATTTGTGATGAAATTCTATTACAGGTCGCACAATACATCAAAAGTCTAAATCATAATTAAACGCCAGGAATTCATATATATTCATAACACATTTTAGGGTTTACACCGTATTTATTTGAGTTAATGCAAAATTCCCCAACAAAATATAGTTTTGGAAGAAGACATCAAGGAAAACAATTAAAACAAAAACATTAGTAGAAATATTGGGGTATGTGAGAACCGGATACTTATTTCTGAAATTGTTCAGTTTCGCACCCGAAGCTAATATAAGGATTTTTAAAGTTGGAGCAAAGTCGAATTATCCTTAATCTTTCTGTGCAGTAAAATATATATATATACAGGGTGAGATGAAAACCTGCAACCAACTTCAGACTGCTGTCTTTTCTAAGCCACTCGTCCGACAGCTTAAAATTATTCCAGTGACAGCTCATTACATTGTTTACAAACGTACAAAAGCATTTTGGTGAGAAAAACCCGCGTCGCAGTGGCCGAAAATGGCTCGTGAGTTGACCATATCGCAATATTCCATTCGGCAAATATTACAAAATGAGCTCGGGGTACAGTCATTGTTATTCCAAAGAACTTACATCGCAACAGAAAGAAAATAGACTCAAAAGAGCTAAAGAGTTGCTTCGATTGGCCGAAAGTGGTGAATTGCCGAATTTGGTTTTCTCCGATGAGAAAACATTCGTTGTCCAGTAGTTTGTAAACAAACAAAATGGTCGTGTTTACTTGCCAAAGGGGTCAGCTGAAAATGTGCACCTTCGGTTGGCCACCAGAACTCAAGCGCCGGTAATGGCAATGGTGTGGGCCGCCATAACAGCCGATGGCCACTCTCCGCTCATATTAACCGTGCCATCAGAATAAATGCCGAATATTATCGTGAGATATTCAGGAGGGTGTAGTAAAGCCTTGGGTACGCGTGGGGTGTATTAGAGCCGTGGGTACGCAAACATTTTGGCCGCAAACCTTGGAGATTCCAACAGGACTCAGCACCATGGCCTTCAGCACGCGCCAACCAAGAAAAGTTACAAAATGAGGTTCCTCGTTTCATTTCCAGCGCACAATGGCCACCAAAATCTCCGGATAGCAATCCGTTGGACTATTGTGTCTGGAGTATTTTAAAAGGAAGGTTGGCACTAAAAAACACCAAAATGGCGATGACCTCAAGCAAGCGCTTCGCCGGGACCAAAATACCGCAGAGCAACATTCGGACAGGGTGTGACTGTTTCATTGGCCGTTTGAAGGCCATATTTCGCCAAGGCCAAGGATGAGTAATTCGAACAAATCTCAACTTATTCTAAAATTTGATGCTATTTCCGACATTTTCCGCCTGTCTATTTGACTGGGGAGTATTCGATTCCATCTAAACTTTGTGCATCATAATATTCCATCGAGTTCGGAGATGGGCAACATTGGTGCAATCCTTTCGGTACCTCCCCCCCCCCAAGAAGCTAACATTTTCAAGGAAAATATTTTACCTCATAGAAGCAAGGAAAGCTCATCAGATTTTTGCTCAAATTTGATAAATGATTTTTGATGTGGATGATTTTTTGCCAAAAGGGGCTACATCGTCCAACTCCTCATAGTACACCCCCCACAACGGGTTAACATTTTGCATGATCACTATTCTTATGAAGTGTGAAATATGAATCTGATTGTCTTCAAATTCCGCACATCTCAATATTTTTACTATCTCTAGATATGAATATAAGCTGGAACAGACCATTACTTCTGGTACCTACAACGGTTTACCATTTTAAATAAACGTGACGCTCATAAAATGCGAAATATACTGGTACCTTCCATGCAAAGAGTTCAAATTTTTAACAATTAAAACAATTAACATGCGGGATAGGATAGAGATTTTTTTGAATCTATAAATATATCAATGCTCTCACTAAATATATATGGGATATAACATGGATATGGGATAGTAAGGGATCAACATTTTTAACAGTTATAACTCTCAAAAAATTCAAAATAAAAAATAAAATTCACTGATATTTGATGATATACATCATTTGAAAACTTGCCTAACGTGCCTAATCGAAATAACCGTTTTAGACCCTAGATCTCTTTCGACCAAATCCGTTTAAGGGCATTTAGAGTCGATCTAGGGTTGTCCGTCCATCTATCCGTCTGGACTATCCGATTTGGTCCAAACAAGGCCAACATTTGGAACAATTAAGACTCTTTAAATTTCACACATCCCACTATTTTTAGTAGCACAAGATCTGGTGCGAAGATGGCAAATATCGGTACACTCCTTCTGGTACCTCCACCACATAGAGTCAAACTTTAGAACCATGAAGCTCGTGAAATGATCATACGATTTCTCTCAAACTCGGCACGTTTTAATATTTTTTGTCAAGAAAATATCTTTTGTGAAGATGGTAGATATCGGCTTACTTCTTCTTGTATCTCCCCACAAAGCGTAAAATTTTGAATAATCAAAACGATCATAGCATACAAACTGAACATCCAATCTTCTAAAAACTTCAGACATCCCAATATTTCTACTAAATCAATATATAGTGTGAAGATATATAGGACCACTCTTTCTTTATCTCTTTATAATGAAAAAAGTCAGCAATATTTATCAAACTTCGTATATCTTAATTTTTCTATTAACCATAGATCTAAGAGATATTTAGAACCACTCCTTCTGATTAATTTTTTGATTAAAAATCATTTCTATAGAATTGTAAAGAGATGCTCGATTTTCTTTAAAATTTGCACATTCAAATAATTTTACCAGTATTAAATGAAGTAGTATGCTACACATCGCCGGAAAGTAACATTGGTTATATAAATTTTTGAAATTCTATTAAGAACTGCAAATAAGCATCAAAATCTATCTATTGATCGATTACATATACAGTCTCCAAATTTGGAATGCGTAACGGATTTTGGAACAAAAATAAATTTGCCAAATTCTATTGAGATCGGTTCAGATTTGGATATCCAACGCCTTTGCATTGGTATTAGGCTAACAGAAAAAAAAAAACTACACAACAATTTAATTGAGGATAGGATTATTACGGGGAGGTATGTTGCAACCTTGAATGTTGCAACTTTAATTGCAAAAGAAATGCCACTCAACTTTAAAAGATTGCAGTTTCCTGCGCGTTTGGCATTTGCTATGAAACTAATAAATCCGAACGACAAACCCTCCGTGTATGCGGACTAAATTTGGCGTGTTCCTGCTTTTCTCATGGTCATCTGTTCCTGGCATGTTCATGCGTTGTCAAACCGAGCTATTTGTTTGTTCACGCTTTAAAGTATAAACATATTTGTTTTTAATTTTTAAATTTGTTTTATTTTTTTAATCAACAAATATTCGTATATAAGATTTTGAATGCATATAAAATCAAAAGGGGTAGCGAAGCGCACGGGGTTCAGCTAGTATCTTATAATCTACAAATAAAAATATTGAAAAAATTGATACTTTTTCAAATTGACCCAATTGTAACATTTTCCAATTACATTTACTTTTTTGTAATATTTGTTTCTTTTTTCAACACACAAAAAAAGGAATTATTTTAATTGCCAAAGTTAAAAATGTTCAACTTTGAAATTGTGTGTGACCGACGTATTTGTGAACTCTCATATAAGTACATGTGTTTTACTTGTGTGGCGAATACTTTGACCGAATACGTCGCCTTTAAGGTAACGCTGTTAGACTAACAGGGTGAGATAAAAAACTTCCACAAAGTCAAACGCCATAATTTTTACATATCTTTTTAAATTTTATTGAATGTAAGCAAAAAATGTCGGAAATAGCATCAAATTTTAGAACAAGTTTAGATTTGGTCGAATTGGTCACCTTTGGCACGAATTCAAACGGTTAATTAAACCGTCATACGCTGCCCGATTGTTGCTCCGCTCCATTCCCGTCGAAGCGCTTGCTTGAGGTGATCGACACTTTGGTATTTCTTAGTCCCAAAATACTCCAGACACAATAGTCCAACGGATGGAAATGAAGCGAGGAACCGCATTTTGTAACCATTCTTGGGTGGCGCGTGCTGAGTGTGGTGGTGCAAAAATGGTGCGGAAAAATGTTTGCGTGCCCAAGGCTTTAATACACCCTCCAGAATATTTTCGTTATAATATTCGGCATATACTCTGATGCCACAGTTGATTAATACGAGCGGAGAGCAACCATCGGCTGTTATGGCGGCCCACATCATCACCATGGCCGGCGTTTGAGTTCTGGTGGTCAACCGAAGGTGCACATTTGCAGCTGACCTCTTTGGCAAGTAAAAACGATAATTTTGTTTGTTTACAAACTGCTGGACAACGAATGTTTTCTCATCGGAAGAAACCAAATTCGGCAATTCACCACTTTCGGCCAAGCGAAGCAACTCTTTAGCTCTTTTGAGTCCATTTTCTTTCTGTTGCTCGCGAGCCATTTTTCGATCACTGCGACGCGGGTTTCGATCAAGTCGTTCTTTACTTTTCGAACCATTTCTGTTG